CTACAGTATGCCAAACACGGGCCACTGACTGTCTGGTGAAGCGCCTTCAACCGATGCTGTATAAATACAAAGTGAATGCCTACCTAGCGGCCACGATCACAACATACAGGTATGCAGGGTGCAAAAATTAACGGGAGGTCGGAGTCAAATACTCCTGGATTTACTGCCAGACTCCCTGATTTGACATATGAGGCGGTCCGTGTGACTCCCTGAAAATTCTGCCATACTAAACTAGTTCAGTCCAGAGCACGGCCTCATGGATTACCGTATTTTTCAGCAAATGTCCAAAGAAAATTTGGCAGACGTGCAACCATGAATCTTCAAAATAAGCACATTCATGTTGTTAATATCTTTATTTTGAACTTCAGACTGCGGACTCCCTCTGGCGGACTCCCTCTTTTTGAGGGCAGGGAGGTCTGTGGACTCCCTTGTTCAAAGTTAATTTCTACCCCTGGGTATGGCCATGTGAATTTTATCCATATTCTGCAGCATCACTTTTTGATACACTTGAGACACACAAAAGGTGTTTGTTTGCTAGATATATTAAAGGTCTAGTACTGCGATTAAGCCAGGATTTTCGAAAGTATTTTTCGCAACCAGTCTCATGTTTCCCCCACTTTTTACTATACTTGCAATTATTACCTCCGCCCACGGAGTTGGAGGGCGGTGGTTTATGTGTCCTGGTCGTCGCTGCGTTTCTGTGCTGTTAGTGGGTTCGATGTGCTAGCAGCAGCAGGCCAGTCAGTGTTAGTGTGTTAGTGTGTTGGCGCGATCGATATTAGTGCGTCCAGTCAAGCGTGTACATGTGAGCGAGCAGCAGCAACGAGCGGCTGCTACGAGCGAGTGGCAGCAAGACAGCGAGCGTGTACATGTGAGCGAGCAGCAGCAACGAGCGGCTGCTACGAGCGAGCGAACAGCAAGCCAATACAATAATAAGACATACATGTTACATGTTGGCAGAGGTATGCACTCTCCGTGAGTGCCCTCTGTCTAGTTGCTTGAGTAACAGCAACTGTGTAGAGTAATGCTAACATGTCTTAGGACCTTCGTACTTAGCTATATTCACCAAAACATGCGTATTTGAGCAATGCTTTCGAAATAAATCCTTTAATAACACGGCTCTGTCGTAGTTGAAACTAGAATAAACGTGAAAAATATAAATGCGGATTAAACGACGCTGACCGATTTCGTCTTTCAGCACTTGGAGTATTCGCAACGAAACTGGACCGTAAACTACTTCATCAGTGGATCGGCAAACTTCGTGGAAGACAACACAACGCACAGGGACAGCGTGCCTCCGGGTTCGTCAAAGTTCTACTGGGCCGACCAGCTGAGTCTCGGTGGATTCGGATATGCCGAGGTCACGCCACAGAACCTTGCGCTGACATTTGTGCGATCGAGTGGCCACGTGCTCTACCAGAAGAGCCTTAAGCCTCGCTCTCTGTGATCGGCTGCTTCAAATAGAGTATTTGATCTTATTTGTTTTTACTCGTTTAGATCGTATTTGTTTGACACACATTTTAATTGATCGCGTGTGATTCGATGCAGGGTCATGCATTCTTGTTATGATAGGAGAAATCAAAGTGGCTTCACTTAGAAATCTTATTATTATTATTATTAAATCTTTATTGCATGTAATTCAAATACAAATAGATGTACTTGGCAGAAATACATAAATCTTAGGTGGACTAGACATTGAACATCATACCTGAGGCTTCTGTTTGAGTAGGGATTTGTGAGAAAGATTTTGTCAGTGTGATTGAAGAGCCAAACTTTCTTTCTTTGTTTGGGGCTATATCAAAGAAAGATAGGACCCATTGTTTGTGTATTACCAATGTAGGGTCAGACTCATATTGTACAAACTCATGTATATTCATATTTCATAGAGATCATCTTGAAGGGAAGCATGTCATGTGACAGATTTTTAAATTTTTGTATGTAAAAGCAATTTAGAATGGTTCAGTGATCTGAGGAGAGACCCTTTTAGTGTCATGACTTTACTGAATTATTTATGAACTTTCTACTCACAGTAGGTGAACGGTGATCTTTTGACCTGTAATTTATAGATAACTGTGAGTCTCGATTGCTGTAGCAAATGAGTGGGAAAACGTTGAGGTAGAGAAGGCTTATCTGTGATCTGTGTAAAATTTCTGACTATAAAAATGTTATTTCAATATCACAATCGGTGTACATATATTGAAGCACTTCATTTTATGCCAGCTGGCTGCTCTCTATGCATCTACATGATATTTTCCAGCATGAGCAAAGTGATCAGTACATGCCACCTAACTAAAACTAACGCTGAGAGGGTCTATGTCCCCCAGGGTACTGCCGGAACGTACCCTGGTACTATCTAATATGCCGGACCGCACTGCATTCGTCTAGTTATGTGTTCGTGTGGCGTCTCTCTCTCTCTCTCTCTCTCTCTCTCTCTCTCTCTCTCTCTCTCTCTCTCTTCTCTCTCTCTCTCTCTCTCTCTCTCTCTCTCTCTCTCTCTCTCTCTCTCGCAGTTTGCAAAGTTGTTTAGATTCGTGATGTATCTCGTTCATGATGGATACGTTCTTCGTGCAGGAAACTTACGAGGATGTGTTCACGGATCCAGGCCTAAACCTGCCGTGGTACCTGATCGCCGGAAATCATGATCACAATGGCAACGTTTCTGCACAGATAGCCTACACCGACAAGGTTAAACGATGGTAAATACCACAATTGCTGTTATATAGTAATATGTTTAATACTGGTAATACCCACCACAGATGGAGCCACCGTCTGCAGCATGGCTGATCTTAAGGAGAATATGTAATAAACAAGTCTCATCTATTAAACCAGTTTCTCTCTTTGATTACTCACACATCGAACAGTGTAACAATCGCCCTCACCCGTTTACTTCACATCAGAGCTTTCTTTATGAGCTATCTATGAACTGTAGAAGGTCTAGCTTGTGTCCGATCAGGTGCACAATTAGAGTTCATTTATTGGAAGTCTATACTGCAGAACTTATAATGACAAATAAATAACTTAAATGACTCATAATATAATAATAACCTGGTGTGATATAGCATGCGTTTCGCAGGTACCATTTTGTAATTTCTAGGAACTCTCCCGACTTTTACTACAACGCGTCGTTCGCGATCCCGGTAACCGTTTCTCATTAACAGGAACTTTCCCGACTTTTACTTCAACCTTGTCGTTCGCAATCCCGTTAACCATTTCTCATTTCCAGAAACTTTTCAGATTTTTACTCCAACCCTGTCGTTCTCGATCCCGGTAACGGTTTCTCATTTACAGGAACTTTCCCGACTTTTACTACAACCTTACGTTCGCTATCCCGGGAAGCGATGCGAGAGTCGATGTCGTCATGTTGGACACGGTGCAACTCTGCGGCAACGTTGACGACTTTGTTGACGTGCGCCAGCCTGCGGGGCCGCCGCACGTTGGCAGCGCCGAGAAGCAGTGGGCGTGGCTAGAGAAACAGCTAGCAAGCAGCAGGTACGAACGCAGGTCGTAGCTACGTCGTACGTACGAAGAACTGCGTGACGATCGCGTTTTCCCCGTGCGAAAAACGTTTTTTTTTTACTCTATGCGTGTTGCGCTAGTACCCTACGTAACGATCATGTTTTCTCTGTGCGAAAACGTTTTTGGGATTCTATGCAAGTTTGCTACGTCACCTGGCTGGTCGAATGCTTATATTTATGAGGTATTAGATTGCAGAATAATATGAGTAATGTATAGAATTTTATGATTAGAGAATAAATTGTCGATGAAATTTGCAGCTGTTGCTCCGCGTTCATTGCGGTGTTTCATGTCTGTGTTGCAGACATATGTTTATATATATGATGTGTGTGTTGATTAGGAGTGCAGAATAAACTGACTGTCGGTGAAATACGCAGTTGTTGCTCCGCGTTAATTGCGGTGTGTTATGTCTGTGTTGCAGAGCGGAGTATTTGCTTGTTGCTGGTCACTATCCAGTCTACAGTATTGCCAAACACGGGCCCACTGACTGTCTGGTGAAGCGCCTTCAACCGATGCTGTATAAATACAAAGTGAATGCCTACCTATGCGGCCATGATCACAACATACAGGTATGCAAGGGTGCAAAATTAACGGGTCGAATCCGGAGTCAAATACTCCCTGATTTACTGCCAGACTCCCTGATTTGGCATATGCAGGAGTCCGTGTGACTCCCTGAAAATTCTGCCATACTAACTAGTTCAGTCCAGAGCACAGCCTCATGGAATGACCGTATTTTTTCAGCAAATGTCCAAAGAAAATTTGGCAGACGTGCAACCACATGAATCTTCAAAATAAGCACATGCGTTGTTAATATCTTTAATTTTGAACTTCAGACTGCGGACTCCCTCTTTTTGAGGGCAGGGAGTCCGTTGGACTCCCTTGTTCAAAAGTTAATTTCTACCCCTGGGTAGTACCCATGTGAATTTATCCATTCACGCAGCATCACTTTAAAAAAATTAACCGTACACATTGTATCAGCAGTTTTGATACACTGAGACACACAAAGGTGTTTGTTTGCTAGGATATATTAAAGGTCTAGTACTGCGATTAAAGCCAGGATTTCGAAAGTATTTTCCAACCAGTCTCGTGTTTCCCCCACTTTTACTATACTTGCCATTATTACCTCCGCCCAACGAAGTTGGAGGGCGGTGGTTATGTGATCGGTCTCGTGCATTCGTCTCTGTTAGTGTGTTCGTGTGGCCAGCACAGGCAGTCCAGTGTTAGTGTGGTAGTGTGTTGGCGGGCGAGTCGCATATTAGTGCGTCCAGTCAAGCGTGTCACTGTGAGGCGATGAGCAGCAACGACGCGTGCCTGCTACGAGCGAAGCCGACAGCACAACAATGACAATAATAAGAGCATAATGAGTGTTTGAGCATGTTGGCAGAAGTATGCAACTCTCCGTGAGTGCCTCTGTACTAGTTCTTGGAGTAAGCAGGCAACTGTGTAGAGAATGCTAAATGTGCTTAGGACCTTCGTAGACTTTAGCG